GGTAGCGGCGGCGGCGGCGGCGGCGGCGGCGGCGGCGGCGCGCGCGGAGTGTTACGTTACTGCGCCGCGGTATCTAATGAGGCTATTAACACACGCTCCGCGCCGTCGAAGAAACTCGGAACAGGCGAGCGTTTATGACAGCCGATGACCTACCTAGCGGCTTCCATTAAAGCCGTGTACGAGCGGGGCCTGAGTGAGACATTTACCGGCTCCCGCAGCTAGCCGATCTCTCGGCTTTAGTTAGTAGGTGTCCCGGTCCGTCGAGATATCATTTAAAACTTCTTCACTTTTACCCGAGATTCACCGTATGTACGACGCGTATCTTCAAATCCGATTCGATTCCGTCCTTAGATCTCAGGAGATGCGCCATGACACTATTAGCGCGATACATTAACGAGCATAGCACGCGCGCACTCTCGCGTAAAGCTCGGTCCATATAAGCGGCAAAAGATCCATCGGAATAAATAAATCGAACTTTGGTCAAATCGAGCGAAAAAAAAAAAATCAACCAGAACCAAACCGATATCATTGTTCGAGTTTGACGATATTTTATCTCGCACGTTCGTTCGCGATCTATGCGATTTGCGATCTTTTTTGACGTGGACTGGGCTTAAAGTGGCCATTACTGCGCGAATTACTAAGCGACTCTCTCACGCGACGCGGTTAGAAATTACTTACCGGCGATCGGCTTCTTTTAGCATCGCGATGAGAGATTTGCGGTCGGATAAATTATCGAGAGAATTTTCTCTGAACGTGTATGCAAATTGCGGGAAGGAGAAGGGGATAAAAAAAAAGGTCAGCCTGAATAAAGTCGCCGCCGGAGATTGCGTCGATTATATCGTACATGAATCACGATTGCGCGCGCGCGCGCGTTGCGTTCGTCACGGATGAACGGACCATGTCAATGTGCGTAGCGACGCTGCTAACTTGTGTCATTGAGAGGATGAGAATTAAAACTCCAACGGCAAAGATAATCCGCGAAGGCTCTTCTTTTATGGGGACGTGACGCGTGTAATTTAATACATATTGTTTCTCTCAATGCGAACTCAACTTCTCCGAGGCTTCCGACATATGCGATTCAACCTTGTTCGTTAATCCTTTCGAAATGAGAGAGAAATATAAGTTATTACAGCGGACAGTAAAAGATAATTATTTCGAAATTATGACAATTGAAAACCTCACGCGATGATAGTTCCGTGTGCATCGCGCGCCGTCGTATAACAGATCGTTGAGTTTATGCTTAATCGCGGATGTAAAATTACCGTAAGATCGAATGGATGAATTGAACCGAAGACAGAGAATATAATCTTTTGTTGTACACTAAACGTGTACGTGCGGAAAACGATGTTTGCTCGGTTTTACACGAGTACCGTTGTGTTTGCGGTATTGTCAGTTTGTTGTATCGAAACATTTGAATCATTACGACGATCTCTACGTACGTATGGAAATATACCGTGCGATGTCTTATCTCGATCGCACCGTCAAGAGAGAGACTCGAAAGGCCGGAAAATAATTAATCGTCCCACTTATGGCCAGAGAACGCTGGATCGAATGCAAATGTTTCTTTTTTTTTTCTGTTACAGACTCGTGCGAACTGCTCGCTGAACGACCTTACGGTAAGTGACTCACGATCTCAATTTCCCGGAGATTACATGACCGTATTACCGCCACTGCAAAAATCGTCGCGGAACCCTTCTATTCAGTATCTTCCGTGAAAAAAATATTCCTCTCCTATTACGCAGTCGTGTAATGTGTGTGTGTGTGTGTGTGCTTCGAATCGCGCGCCGTTGACTCGGCTCGCCGTCTTGACTCGCGTAATTCGCTTCCATTCAGTGCCTCATTCGCCCGTTGATTTCATACGGCGTTGCGAAACGCAATGTAACATGTAACGCCGCTGAGTGCTCGGTCTATCTCTCTCTTTCTCTCTCTCGCTCGCTCGCTCTTTCTGCTTCTTTTATATAGCACGCGTCTGCTCGATCGCACGTACGTTCTATGCAAACGCGTAAATTGAACCGAATTCCTGAAATAATTCCTGCTTCAAATAGAGAACGGATAGAAAAAGAAAAAAAGTGACTGCGTCAAAAGAAAGAGAAAGTGCGTGCGTGTGTATGTGTGTGCTAATGCTTATCTGGTTTCATATAGTAAATATATTAAAAATCCGAGCAAAACTCAACTATTTGCTATTGCAATAAAAGTTACTCGCTTACGTCTACACACACACATACACCTTGAATTGTAGTAACAAGATTTCCTAAGTCGTCGTTACACCGTCTGCAAACAGGTAGTTTTCACAATTTTCATTTTCTATTTTTAATCTTTAGCTTGGCGACTTTTTGTTTTATTTTACATTTTTGTTCGTTGACAATTTCGTGTTCGCTTCACTGACGGCCACGACGAATCCGACGACGTCGGACAAGACGTTTCGAAAAGACGTTCATCTTCGCGGACATGATATCAACTCAGGGGAGAGGCTGTTAGTAGAGCATAAAAAGTCGCGTTGCATCCGGTCGCGTCTCCTCTATGCCAGAAGTCGTAAAATTCAGCGTTATGCGATTCGGGGCCTGTGTTTTGTCTCCCTTTCGAGATTATGATTATCCCAGCAGTGGCGGCAGCCACCGTGGCTAATATCACGCAATAAGCCGGAGAGCTCAAGAAAGCAACGGTTTGTCTCTCTTTCTCTCTTGTCTCTCACTCTAATTTTCTTGCTTTCTTTCCCGCTCTGTCTTCGACTTCGTTCGTCTTCGTTTCTCTCAGTCTCTTCCCTCCCTCTCTCTCTCTGCTTCCTCTCTTTCCTCGGTGTATATAATATGTGCCACCAAACCTGATGGTGTAAACGACCATCCGGTGGAAATACGTGGATTGTTCGGGACGGAGGGAAGGAGAGAGAAGACCATCAAACGAACCGCGCGCAGCCCTGCGAGAGCATTCTAACTTTCCTGAAGCAACTCCATCTTCACAGTTTATCGTGCGTTTGTGAACACGAGTTGCAATAGTCGATTTGGCTTTTGCGTTACTAATGATGACGGATGTCACCGACGCGCGATTCGTCAGATCGTTAATATCTAAGCGCGCATAAAATAATATTCTACACCGATTTCTTTCTTCTATTTATTGTATTTGTTTCATCTTCTGCCGTATTTTTCGTTTCTAAGAAAACCGTTGCTTTGCCATTTGGAGGAAAAAAACAAAATTACTCATGTTAGCATGGCACTTTTAAACGAGTATACGCCGGATCCCGCGCATTTCGGGGCTATCGGGATTTTCGAGGGTTGTGTCGAATCAACAGGTTCCGGTTATGAGAGTGTAAAGCGTTTTGAATCTCACCCCACGAGGGGCATGAATCCTCGGGCGCGAATCTCGATGTAGGAGAAAAAAAAAAAGGGCCAATCTTGTTCATGGGGGGTCGTGTCAGACGGGCTGCTCTCCCGATCGGTGAAATTGCGCGCGTGTGTGTCGCGCGCGCGCGCGCGCGCGTATGTATTAAACGTTTGCGGGGGTGGTTTGCCGACCCTAAGCTATACGGAGGAGGCGGCTGACAGGCCGATTAGGGCAAGACGGGCGGCGAGGGCCCCTACGGAAAACTTAAAATAACATCGCTCGATCATCCGGGTATCTTCGCAGACAGCCGACGACACGGCGTGCTCCGCTATTCAAACGCTCGCTCAACCCCGCGTCACCTTTCCGCCGCTTCCTGATGTTCCATCCCTAATCCCCGGCCACCTTCGTCAGAAGAATGCTTTATTTCCCAAATCAACTTTTGACAAAGTGTTGAACTTACATTATTATTTTGTTCATTTGTACGTCCAATATATATACGTGTGTGTATTATTTGTTTCTTATTTAACATATAGTTTGTCTGTTAAATAAGATATGTTTATAAACGAAAATAGTATTCGAGAATCATTACTTTGATACTTAAAATATTATTTCTTAATTTTTATTTTAATTTTATTTTTTAATATATTATAATGTTTATCAATTTTAATTTGTAACATTTAGTAATGTGTTCACATACACATGTAATATATTTTGACATTATTTAATATAAAGAAAAGAGAATTTACTTATTGTCAAAAAAATTTTTAATTATATATATATATATATATATATATATATAATTATCCTAGATATATATATATATATATATCTAGGAAATTTACCAACCAGTCGTAGGTTGAGCACCTCTTCGATGCTCATTACAGAGCGTCCCGCCCCCGGCGGCGGATAATCAGGGTGTGTAGGGAAGTGAAGGGTGGGGGCGGGGGCGGTGGGTGACCTCGCCCGGGGCCTTTACTTTCTTCTTCTTCTTCGTTCTGCCACTTCCACGTTTCTTTGCTCTGTTCCTCTTCCCTGACGAAATACACCTCTCTCTTCTTCTCTCACTATGTATGTCTCCCGTTTCTTTTCTTCTCGTCGTCTATCTGAGAATTTCTTTTTCTCTCGACGTTTTCGTCTACTCGGCTGCTATATACCTGCGCAAGTGACGGGGCAACAGTTCTGTTTTACGTTCCTCGCCTGTACTTTGCATGCGGGTACTGCACATTGCTATCATCCTCATCGCATTTACCCTCCGTCCTTTCTCCGTTGAAATTATACGGAGTTTTTATACGCTTTTTATAATAACAGGGTTCGAGTCGTTTTACTTATTACTCGAATGTATAAAACACATTGAAAATGTTACACGTGTTAAACCTTTATATATATATACATGTGTTTCATCAACATTAGTTTTCTATCACGTCTAAAATGGCGCGTCTCGTTGTTCGCGATATGGAATCAGTCAATAGCACGAGAGAGAAAGAAAGACAAAGCTATTTAACCGGAAATAATGATTATACGGGTGGATATTTCCATCGAGCAGAAAATGACGAGTATTAGTTGAGATGAAGGATGATGCTTCTTTTTTTTTTTTTTTTTTGTCCACGGCGACAACGAATCTTGCGGTTGCTTCGCTTCCTTTTCCCGTGTTCATTACCTATGCAGAATTTAGTGGAAGAGAGACCATGAGGGGGCAGATAGGGGGAGAAAAAAAAGGGAAGCGAGGAGAAAAGGTCCGAGGTCAGGATTCACGAAGAATTGAGAGTTTCGAGACACGCCGCTGAATAATTGGAATCCAAACAGGGGAATCGGCGCCTGCGTGGATTCTCAACCTGTGGATCCGTGTGTTTATTCTCTCGAATGTGTCGGAAAAAGAGAACTCGCATTCACGCGTTGAGATCAATCACCACGTTGGTCGGGAAAAGATAACGTAAACGCGCGGAAACTAAAAACTAGCACCGAGCGCGCACGCGCGCGGAAATCCTTCGCGATCCTGACTCGATCTAATTTGCAAGAAGATGCGCGAGAGAAGAAGCATTTTGCACTCAGGGGAATTCGTTACGGTTTTCGCGATAAAAAAAAAAAAAAAATTCTTTCCGCGAACGATAATTCATCGCGCGCGCGCGCGCGCGCACACACCGAGTGTATTCAGAACATCTCGATATCAAGTCCATCGACTTCCTCGAAAATTTATATGCAATTTTCTTTCGAAAATGAACTTCCGTGAAATGTTACGCAAGCAATCTCGTCTTTTTTCTAATTATTGTCTATTCAACGTACGCGTCGTTCAGAACGCTATGTACGCGTTCTTTTTGCCGTTGCGTATCAGAATGTGACTGCACTACGATGAGATGCCTCGTATCGTCTATAATCCCGTTACAAGATTCTTTTCTTCTTCTGTGAACTCATCAGCTACCGGTCTCGAACTCGTTCGACATGTGTGCAAGAAAACGTTGTCACTCGACGAAGAGAGGCTTCTCACGCGTCCTTTTGTCCTCTCTCTAAAATGGTCAAGAGGGTCTAGCAGATCGAAATCCGGAACTTCTCGGTTAGAGATCGACGAGAGATCTAACGCAAATACGGATTGTTAACTCTCCGTGAACTGAGTCTCCCAGACCCGCTCAAAAATTGACGCGCATCGGCGTTTCTAGTAAAACTTAGTTTTGTTTTTAAACGCTTATATCTTCGAAACTATCCTTAACTGCGCATAATATAAATTTGCATACGCGCAGAGAGATCGAGCGCGTCATTCAGTTCTCGATATACATATATGAGAAGCGGTGAAGGAATGCGTGAGAGTAATCGGAATTCGCTAATGAGCGGAGATGAGAGAAACGGCATCGCTTTCTTAACATATATCTCGACCGTTCTTCCTCCGGAGAAGCGATGTCCATTCACCTTCGTCACCTCACATCAGAGAAACGCATCGTGACGAAAGTTCGTGGGTCTGCACCTGCGGACAGTTGCGCGTTCGTCGGGTTCGTCATCATTTCTCGCTGCGAAAACGATGGCGCCATTCAGGCAGTCCTTTAGTCCCATTAAGGAAGCAAAGCAGGTACTCACGTTCTTCTTCTTATAAAAAAAAAAAAGAAAAAAGAAAGACCGTTGAAAGGTTGTCTCAGACAGTCGCTTCTCGCCGCACTAATTTCCTATGCCTTACGCAAATTTCGTAGATAGTTTGTTTCGTTCTCTCTCCTTCTGTTTTCTCAAAAGGAAAATCCGACAGGATTTGCGTCTCTCTCTACGCTTAGTTATTTTTCTGTTCTTTAAGAGAGCGGGAGAAATAAAGAGAGTGGAT